GATTAGAACAAAACAGCCCTCTTCATCATTTGCCAAGGCGAATCTATCAATGTTGGCAGGAGAATTCCACAGCAAAAGAGCCTCATATCCGATGTACCTTTTCATATTTATGCTCCAATCTTCTGACAACTCGTGTATTGCACAAATGTATACGCTGAAAGAGCTCAAGCAATAGACTGTGGGCATGCAAGTACCTTGACCTAAGCTGTGTTGGTAGATCAAAAAAGAAAATTAATAAGAAATGAAGAAGAAAAAGTGCCACAGGCATTGCAGGAAACTGAGAGATTGAGAGGTTAGCTTCTCCAAGATTTGAAAGGTTAATATGTATATTATAATTGCAAACTCATGAATAGGATTTGGTAAATTTACACAGAAAATTCACTACTGCATCATCCACTAATATGAACGTATACATTGATTGTGCCTGCCTCCTACTGGTTGAATTACAAATAATGCTAATGTTTCGAACCTTGCATTAGGGATAGAAGACGAAAACATCACAGAATTGACTGATGTTGCAAGTAAATTTTGCACTAAGCTTCAGTTCTTTGTTCAACTCCTCTAGATCCCGTTTATCACAACCTTAAAGTACTGCTAAAGGAACTACTCCTGTAACAGAAGTGGTTTTTGTAGCCCATCATTTGTAATACTTCAATCATGTTCAAGACTTCACGTTCAAGAAATTGAAGGTCCTATTATAATTGTACTAAATTTTTCATGAACCAGGAGTTTAAAGGGCAACTGGACAAGGCAAAGACTACACATGTGATCTGAAATGGCGGAGCGAGCATGCCTCCCTTGCATCACATCACCGAAAAGGGCAAAACAACTTCAGTTCAGGGTTGGAAGGCCATCATTTCATTCATTTGCAGGCCATAATTTTGGGCCCTGTGGTCAAAATAAATACTATTATGGACATAGAATGCTACTGCATTTTTTTTTCTTTTACCTATATTCTGTCTTTTTTCTGCTAATTCCTCTTCGTGGTAGTACAATCTCTAATGATGATTTCTGTTCACGAACAGGGTTTGCCTAATTGAAAGTGCATCGCATTTCCAATTGTTTACAGTGTCAAATTTGACAGTATAGTTGAAGTCGGCGGACCCCATTTGGAGCTTGGACAAAGAACCAGTCATGTAGCTCCATCATGCAGGATAATAGAGGGGTAATATCATGATCTCATGAAGGACAATGTGAAAATGCAGGACACTTTAAAGAGTCACCCTTTTTGACTTTGTGAATTCTTTATCCTAAAGCCTTAAAGAGAAAAGCAGATAATCTTTTGATTTTCGATGATTTTACTATCTTTTAAGTACCGCTTTATTTTGCTGTACAAAGAAAGATATATGAGGAGGATGGGGATAAAAGAGGGAGCCAAATAGTTAAAAGGACAAATTAAGTGCATTGGACTTTTACTTTTCCTATACCGATTTCACATCGACCCTTTCTTTTTGTTTATAAAGCTTTTCGTTTCTGAATAAAATACAAAGTTGTGAAAATATGTTGGTAAACTAATTGCCATCTTGTGGGTATAGCTGTAGTGGGGGAAAATAATAATGGTTGAGAATATGATTACCTGTTGAGTTGAGGCTGAGTTCCTGGAAGAAATAATGTGGAGAAAATGCTAGCCTGCATGCTTAGAAAGATTACCAATAAGAAGTAATCATTGACAGCACTTAAAAAAGTTGCAATTGATTTACCTATAACTGGATTTAAACTTTGGCTCGAACAAGTAATAGATTTTTTTTTTTTTTTTGCTTGGATCAATGGATGTAATTCTCAATGCTATATATATATATTCTTTTTTTTCTTTTCTTTAGAAAGGGCTTGTTTTCTTCAAATTAATCATACTCTGTGAATGTCTAATTACGTTGAAACAAGTAAGAACATCTCTATCCTTTTCTCACTTATTCATAGCATGAGGGTTTCTTTTTTGGTACAACATGATTTGTGTTTCAAGTTAATCGTAATACTTTAGAAAGTCAGTTTCTACATTAATTTATCAAACATGATAAAGTAGTCGGAAACAAAAGTAAAACTACATTATGAAGCCAATCAAAATAATCTACCGGGAAACATTGTGGTAAAATCAAATTTCATGTTTGCCAAATTAGATGTTTATTGTGCAATCTAGTATTACTTTTTTTTTTTCCTTATTTTCCCCAATCAAAGTTAACTAGATTCTAAAATGAGCGTGCAAAAGGGAAAATTGACTGCCCATGAGACAAGAAAACATATTTTGTATCCATTTTCAAGCAAGAAAAGCCCGAGACAAGTCAAAAAGTAACATTTAACTAGGGTCACTTTTTGGTATTTAAAATAACGAAAAACAAAAAACTAGGAGCTCCTTCTATATTTCTTTTGCGGGTCAAGGAATTAAATTTCAAATTCCTCTGTTAATGCTTTAGTTTTTTTATTTTATCAGTAGAAATGAGTTATGAGGTATAACTAGGGTTACAAATGAGTTGAATCGAGTCGAGTATTGATCTAATCGAATCGAATCTTGACTTAGTTTTATCAAACTCGACGAGCTGCCAGTCTAAATTTCAAGCTCGAGTTCGACTCAAATTCTAGTTGACTTCGAGCTTGAAAAAATAAAAAATAATTATTTTATTTTTTAAAAAATAAATAAAATAATATCTTTTTCTTAATAAATAACTCAAGCTCGATTTAGTCGGCTCGCGATCTGCTCGATTCGTTTGCAGTGCTAGGTATAATAATCTTCATACTGCAGCCCGAAACCCCCTTCCCCTCAAAAGTCCAAACCCAAAAATAAATTAATTAATTATAAAAAAAGTAGTCTTGGACGTATTCTGAATAATTAATTGAGAAACAGATAATTTTATGTCCTTTTTTTTTAAAAAAATTGATATATATGAAAACACATAACATGATGAACACTTAAAAAAAAAAAAAAACTGGTAAACGAAACAAAGAATAAGTGCTTACTTGCTATTAGAATTTTCTCATTTTAAGGATGACTAATGATTGTTGCATGGTGAATCAGTGATGAACTTTTTTAAAAGCATGAAATGTTTAAGCCTAAAGTTTTAGCATAGGTATGGGGTGAAAACTTTATCAATATCACCACCTCTTTTCAGCCATCTCCTTCCTCTATAAATTGAGACAACAGCCAAATCCCACTTCATCCATCTCTCTCCATCTCCCAATCCCTCTCCCAAACCAGCAATTCTTCATCATCAAAAACATCATGAAGCACCTAGCATTCGTTGCAGTTCTTCTCTTGGTTCTTGGAGGGATTGAGAAAGCAAAAGCAGTGACTTGCAACCCTTTGCAGCTGAGCCCATGTGCAAACGCTATAACATCTTCCTCTACACCTACTGCAATCTGCTGTTCCAAGATAAAAGAACAGAGGCCATGCTTATGCAGCTACATGAGGAACCCTAATCTCAAGAAGTTCATCAGCTCTCCTAATGCCAGGAAGGTGGCCAACACTTGTGGCACTCCATTTCCTCAATGCTAAGAGTCCATTGATTATTTCTGTTTTTAGCATCTGGTCTTAGTTATATATATATATATATATTGAGTCTATTATGGTCATGTTTTGCATTATCTATTCCACCTAGCCTATGTTCTATCATCTCTGTATCACTGTGGAACTTGTGTGGCGAGTGATCAGTCTTTGGTGTCATAGTTATTATGGGAATGGGCGCTGTCGCAGTACAACCATGTTGTGCTTGCATTGGACTATGTTTTACTTTGCTTATTGTAATGAAGATTGAATAATTAACGCTAACCCTATCTACTATTTTGTTTACGCTCTTTTTTTTTTATTAGTGAAGCGGTAATTGAAGGATAGAGGCGTCTATAGATTACATTGAGATACATGATCAACATATATAAACATACTGATTTCATGATGGTACATGGTCAACCATAATTGACAGATTAAAAATTTTGCAACAAAAGTTGCATGCGATGTAAATTTGAGTGAGCATTATAAACTTGTACTGTCATCTCGACTCACAAAAAAAGTATAAAGTCACCCAAATTTCTAGTTTAAAATCATGTTATACCATTTGGTACGTAATAGTCTGCATATAAAATGCTTTAAGTAACACTAACAAATCAAATTACATTCATAATATAAGGAAAATTTTAATAATGCTCCCTTAATTATTTGTTAACATCACTTCTTATAACTTTTTTTTACTCCTGCAAAATGATAAAAAATGCTCATACTCTGCATTTTGGCTACAATTTCATTGAAAAGGGGTAGTTGTAAATTCAATGCAAAATGGGAATTTGACTAACTCACATGGTCAAAAAGGTCAAGAGAAGTGCCGTTGACAAATAAGAGAATGCAATTAACACCTCTCCATAACATTATACCAAGTCAACCTTATTAAGACTAAAAGCTCTGCAAAGTTTAATTTCATCATCGAATTAAATAAAGTTCATTTTTGTTTACGTAGGTCAAGTGGATCGAGTCTAAGCCACACCACACCAATTATTGTATTTAATAAAGAGCTCCATAATATTATACCAAGTCAACCTTATTAAGACTAAAAATTTTACAAACTTTAATTTCATCATCGAATTAAATAAAGCTCATTCTTGTTTACGTAGATCAAGTGGATCGAGTCTAAGCCACTCCACACTAATTATCATTTTTAATAAAGAGCTCCATAATATTATACCAAGTCAACCTTATTAAGACTAAAAATTTTACAAACTTTAATTTCATCATCGAATTAAATAAAGCTCATTCGTAAAAAGCTCATTCTTGTTCACGTAGGTTAAATGGATCGGGTCTAAGCCACTCCACACCAATTATCATTTTTAATAAAGAGCCATCTAATTTTCGAGATGGTTTGTAGGTGTGTCTTTCTTTCTTGCTCAAAATGGTCATTTAATTTTTGGGATTGTTTGTAGGTGTGTTCTTTCTTGCCCAAAATAGAAAACCATTTTTAGTGTTTTGCTCGGAGCTTTCTTAAATGATTCTGCAATTGATTTCTAAGGACAGTGTCAGAGTAAGGTTTAGCTGAGAAGAAGTGATTTTATCTACTAACATCCAACAAAGGACTAAAGAAAGGAAAACCCTCGGGAAAAACCTCTGAAGTGCAAACCTTTTCCTATAGACAGATACTTTAGATACATAGCTCATTAAGGACCTTTCCAGATCTTCTAATTTTCATCAAAAACATACCCCAGAAACTATTGATACACAAGCACTACAACCAAACCATGATTAGACCTTCAATTCCTGTTGATTCTCCATATAATGGGATGTTGTCATTCCAAGTCCTTCAGTGTTTTGCTTTTCCCATCCACCTGTATCTGCCTTGGCATGAGACCAGTAGTAGAAAATGGAGCCTATCATGGATAGCAAGGTCAATGCAGCCCCAGCAGCAAAAACACCTTTGCGAAGGGTAGCACAGGACAAGTCATTACCACCAAATATGCCTCGGTATTTAGTATGGTAAGCATTCCTAGCTGAGCCAGCCAGTAAGCATGCTTCGGCTCCCAAAAAGCTTACCCTGTGCATTTCTTTCAGTTATTAACGGGCAAGAAAAACAATAAAACACGTTGACACACTTAGCTAATCCAAAGAATTTATGGAGTGAAGAATTTAATAGTCACTATGAGGTGCCCTCATGAAATAATGAGGAGAAAGGAGGAAAGAACAGAATGAAACAGAGTTTGAAAAATCATGTTATTTCAATCAGAAATATCACGCGATAACCAAGCAGCTGCAAAGAAAGAACACTAATGCAATGGAAAAGAACACCAACTGCTCTCGCCAGCTCCATTTTGAACAAAATTAAGAGCTTCGAAGATCAAATTCTGTTTTGCAGGTGTGCCAAAAAAAAAAAAAGGCTTAGCCGGGCCTGCAGAAATTATTGACTGAATGAAACTTTATTGAATCCAAAAACACAAAAAACATGACAAAGAAGGGGAGAAACAAGAATCTCTACCCTCCAGAATAAAGGAAAAGAAGAATCAAAGAACAAGAGAGAACTAGGGGAATGGCAAAACAAAGGAAGCATGCTTAATCAAAGCATGAAATTTCTGGATCTGACCAGTCAATTTATGAAGCAACCTTAGGGAATTAGTTTATACAAGTTCAGCGGAACCATCCAAAGTATACTTCAAGAGAATTGAGATCATAAATGTCATAAGAATTTTTATTTCTAGGAACGCCAAAAAATATCTTCACAAAATGTGAAAACAGGGTTCAGATTCCACCTTTAAACTTTTGGACATGCATACAAACCAGGAAAAAGTGAAATAGCTCAACAAGAATCTCTAGAATTTTATCTTCTCACTCTGATCTAACTTCTGAATATGCATAAACTATTTTTGCCCAGTAATTTTATGCACATTACTTGGTTACCTAATACAGATATCTTACCCCAAACTAAACCAAGAAAGGCACATGCGTTGGGATTTCAATGGCAGCAAGAATCAGGAAGCAAACAATGCTGATCAAATTTTGTTGAAAGACATCCAGCTTCATGCAAATTCCCAAAATTTATCTACTAGAAAGTATAAGAATGGATGAAACCCTGTTCTCCAACTACTACCACCCTCATTGACAGAAGAAAGGAGCAGATGAGCAAAATTACAACCACACACGTGAATGCATTTTATACAAGGAACGGCTGAAATTCAACATGCATATCAAACCATACGTGACATGTGCAAAAGTTGAATAGATGGAACCATTAATTTTCTGTAGCAACGAAAAACATGTCATGACATGGAACGCATAACAGGACAGTTCCCAAACTTCTTCAGTTCCAAGTAAGGGCATGTTTATTTGATGAAACCTTTGCTCAAAATAATCTTATGGCCGATTGTGGAATGAGAAAACAATACATACCCTACCAGAAGATTTGCAATTTCTATGCCAGTTGATGCATGAATTCTACCATACAGGTATTGTACACATATTCAAAACATCACATACAAAATGCTCTAAGCAAAACTGCATACAATTATTCGCTAGAAACAGAACCTAAATGCTGAATGATGTCACAAGTTTATCCCAACAGAGAATTTGACCCCACCACAATGACAAATTATCTCCTAGCCCATCCTGCCAGATTAAGAATTTAAAAAACCAACAGCCAAACTCCAATTATTGCAAGTAAAAATATTTCACATGCAGCTGTGCAGATCATTACTGGAATAGTTAGTGTTGAGAATTATTCTACCACCAAGGCACCAACTATCACCAGCCAACAGGGAGGTGGGGCCCAACTCCAACTCATAGACTCGCTGGAATCAACAATGCTCCACTCTCCCAGTGGCAAACGTAGTAAATCCAAAGCAGAAGGCAAGGACATGATAGTAAATTGGAAAAAAAAAATAAACCAGGGATCATTACCAAGAAAAGATGAAGAAGAAAACAGCACAGGTAGTAGACCGTCCACCCATCATCCCTTTCCCAAAACACAAGCACTTAGTAACGCCGTTAAGCACCGTTTGACTAATTAACAGCAACCCAAACGCCGATAACCCGTAGACGGTCGAAGCATCCGTACCGTACACGCAGTAAGTCGTTTCATCGTACTTATCCGGCATAACATTAGCCTTATCGAACATTAAAAGCCAGGAAAAAAAAAATTAGAACTTTAACTGAGTTTCCATAAAACAAAGAGAACCCAGATGCTATTTTTGGAAATGGAGTAAAGGGGTTACCGTGCTTCGACGCCGTTCAGCTCCGATAGCGAGAACGAAGGCTATGAGGTGAAGAGATGTTATAATTACCAAAATGGGGATGGAAACTCCCATTTTTTTCAGCTGTTATCTCCTACTAATTTCTCACGAACAAGAAGCAACGCACAGTCCTCAATAACTGGAACTTCTTTTCTTTTTTTGCTTTCTTTAGAAGTGTAATGTATGTATAATTGCACAAACTTCTTTTTTTTTTGGGGTGAAGGGAATTGTTTGTGGGGCTACAGGTTTTGCGTTTTGGAATACGGAAACTTTTCTTTTTAGGTGGGATGCTTTTTTTTCCCTTGTTTCGGCTCGGTGGGTGGGCGTTATAGTATATGGTTTGCTTTTTGGATGGATTCGTGGAAAAAATAACCAGTGCAGCCTGCCGGCTTGAGGAAACCGAAATAATAAGGCTTGATGACGATAATTTATCAGGAATTTAGGAGAGAGGAAAGGTGTCGGTGAGGGGAACTCTTGGGGTCCAGTTGTTTTTCAATTTTTTTTTTGGTGAGGTTTTGCCGGTTTCTGGCAGTATTAAGTAAAGTGTACTTTGTTTAAGTGGAAGGTGAATGTATATGGAAATGTTTTGGCAATGCATGATTGGAACATGACATGGTTGATCTGTACTCGAAGACGACGACAGCTGCAGCAGTACCGATTCTTTGAGTTTAATGACTTTGATGATTGAATTTAGTTTCTGAGAGCCACCTATGGCATTAACATTTATTGTGTTAAGTTTGGCTACCGCGGTACCCGTGCTAGTTCCCTTGTTTTCTTCCCTTGTTTAGTCCAAGTATTTTCGATGTTGCTATTGATGCACACAATTATGTACAGTAAAAGATGTATTCGAGGTTCGATTTAAAATTAGAAAGAAAAATTTGCTAAATAGCTACTTAGTTTAGACGATTGAATGGAGGCTGGAGCCAGTTTAACCTTGAAGCCTTGATCTGTTCGTGGAGGATATCTTTCAATACTATTGTAAATCTCAGGGATATGGGTATCTTTGCTCTCTCGTAATGAACTTCTTCTTGGAGAACATATTAATTAAGATGAAAGCACAATTTGTTTGTTTTCCTTTTGTTTTTCATATCATTGTTGGCTAAGCCACTAAATGCCTAATCTTCTACATTCTTGCAACAGCACCACACTCTTATTTTATGTAAACGGACTTTTCAATCTGTAATGCTTTTTTATCGGGGGATTCACCCTGTCTAAATAAACTTCATTGGCTGCTTTTGAAGAAAAGGAACTCAAAAGCATCATCCCTAGCTCAAAGTACGAAAAACAAATGAAAAGTAAGGACGAGCAACAGAAGGTAACAGAATATGCATGGCAAATTAGAGCTAATCATGCAAATGAACCATGAAATGCAAAGGGATCAGACTAAGTATTTAACTAGCCATAGCCTGTAGATGTATTTCTACCTTCACAGAGTCAATTAACAAGAAGTTCATACATGTTATTTTCATAGACCAAATCATATTTGAAAACTGAAATTTGATGAAAGCACATTTCACCATCTAAGCACTGACAGATCAGATCCTTGATGATTGATCAAGTTTTCTAATGCATCGTGCCATTCTTCTCTCCGAAGTCCTCCCATGCCAAAGCCTTTGGATGCCTCAAGTGTGATTTATTTGATAGTTAGAGATGTTGAACTCGGCCGGCATAAACAAACTCTGACGCTCCCATCTGGTCCGATCGCTCCTGTACAAGTTGGGATAATCTGTGATGCTCCAAAAACATTTGGTACATCTCAATCTAACGTTATACGACCAAAAGAATCCATTCACTCTGTCATTGATGTACAAATAACACCATCTCATTGGGAAAGCGATTTGTGTGAAATTGTATATGAATCTTTCTCCTTTCCTCAGTTCATGCAAACCCGTATCGTTTTTTGACGACTTGCACATGTAATACACCGTCTTGTCACCATCATTGGCTATTGTAATCTCTATTGTTGGGAAAAAGAAATCACGGATTGATTCAAATATGGTCTTTCTGCGCCCTACTTCAGCGGCTTCTTGATCTTCTGAGGCATTGGCATTGAAGGAGAGGAGGAGGAGGATGGCAAAAATGGCAAATGCTGAATTAGTGTTCTTATTCGCCATTGAAAAGCCAATGGGAGGTAGATGGTGCCCAGGAAGGCAGATGGGGATGTAATTAGTGGCGCATAAGATTGTAGTTTGATTTGCTCTGTGTGGCACAAATTATTTTGTGCTTGGATTCTCCTTGACTTGCGCATGCCTAAAGATAGCAAAGTCAAGGAAACTTGAAATACATTGGACTTTGATCTTAGTCCACTTTTTATTCTACCACTACTATAATAGGGAGGGACTTGTTGGTCCCTCTTGACGGCCCTGTATCTAATAGAAGAAGAAAAGTCTATTACATATTGAAATGGCTTTCCAACCAACAAAAGGAAATTTTTATGATTTACAATAAAAGTATAATAAAAAAGGAGTTAACAGAACTAATTAAAAATATTATGAAAGAGACAAAGGAGTTGGTTTATTACCAAAAAGAGGTAAAGGAAAGAAACAAGGTAAATCTAGTTTAAGTTTTATATGCTTCTTGCTTTCCTTTCTTTTTTCTTTGTGTCTTCGTGAAATGAATAGCCGTCAAGACGCTTCCTGGTTCCCACGAATGGAACATACTTTTATTCTTGATTTTTATTTAAAAAAAAAAAGGAATTTACTCTTATCTTAGAATGAGCACAAAAATGATGCAAAGTGTTAATAGGGTTGTAACTACATCTATGTATAATTGTTATACATAAGAAAAAAAAAACATTTATTAACATGCTTTTCTTTTTCAAAATAAAATCAATCAGAAGTTGGAAAATCTACTTCTTTAGTTTTGCAATAAAATCAGTACAAAAATAAAAAACAAACCCTTGTACATAGATATCAAAGCAAAATATCAATTTTTTTTTTTGTCAGCGCAACAGTATCCCATCTTATGCTAAACTAATCCCCTATGACTATAGAGAACGTGCCCAAGATGCATAGCACATTACTAGCGAGGGTTAATCTGACGACCCTAAAGTGGTTACCATACGAGCTATTCATTGGAACCTAAGGAACATCAATATTAACCTAATCTTGTATGTACATGTATCTCGTGTATCAATTCGGAATGTTTTCACAATTTTGTCTCTAGCACTTGCAAATTGTGACTATATTATTCGCACTTGAGAGATATAAGAGTTTAACAGTTACTTTATTTGATGAAAGCAAAAATAGGTGTAAGAAACCGAATCAATTTTATTTCAAAGAAAGGTCTTTTGTATGGTTAACTTCTTTTTTTAGATCCTACAATGGTTAACTTCTGTTTGTTCAACAAATATAGGGTAATTTGGTGCAATCGAATTAAAATCCATGTCATATTTACAAAAGGGATAATTTCAGAAATCTCCCCTGAAATTTCTTACAATTGCAAAGTCCTTCCCTCAAGTCTATTAAATAACACTTAATCCCTTACTTTTACTATTTATATAACTATATAGGTCCAAAAGCCTATATTTTTTTTCAAAAATTCTAAATTACCCTTTTTGTACAAATATAAAACAAAAATTATTTTGCTAATTGTTTTCTTCCATATTTCAACCAAACCCACTATACTAACAAATAGTTTAATTCAAAATTCTAAACCCAAGCAATTCCATCATCATAGTCATAAATTTGCTTCCCAAAACATGCATTCAATTCTAAAGATTTGTCCCATCCTTTAGAAATATTCTTACCATATGATTTTATGGAATGGTCAAACTCACAATCTACTATTCTTATGTTTGCATAATCTTCAACATAGAATGCCATGGTTTGATTTCATATAAGTGGCTCAACTCCTGCTACATGAGCCACATTATGATTTTGAAGAAAATTCTTAGGAGAGATTTAGGCATGGATGGGTTTAATCAAGTTTAAGAAACGGAAGGCATCATTATGACTATAGACATCTTCAAGAAATTCATTTTGTTAAAAATCAAAATTATATTCCAATTAATCACACCCTAATTTCAAACCCAATACTCACACCTTCTCAAAACAATATAATCTAGCCTACCATCAAATCTCCAAACATATTAATATTTTAAATACAAAGAAGAAACTCTATTTCCATAACCAACAATTGCCAAGTATAAAAAGAAATATAAATGTACTTACTAACATCTTAAAAAGTTTTTTGAATGGATGATAGACAAATAAATAAATTTACCAATTTCAATCCCTCTTCCTCTTTTGACCAATGATTGTATTATTTATTTTATTTACCAATAAATTTACCTCTTTTATTTATTTTATTTACCAATAAATTTACCTCTCCAATTTATTTTATTTACCTCTTTTGACCAATAAATTTACCAATGATTGTATTATTTATTTTACCAATTTCAAAAGCCTATATTTGCAATAGTGAAACTGATTGTTTTTGTATAATTTAAAGCATTATATCCTTGTTTAATCACTTTATAATAAGATAATTAGTACAACTCCTTATTTATAGAAAAGGGTTGAAGGAAAAAAAATTTATCACGTTTACATTTATAAGACTATGCATTGATGTTTACAAGTTTATTATGTTATTTGTTTAAATTTAGAATATCTTATATAGAAAAACATTTTTCAAATGACAACATATGCCATTTGTCATTTGCAACTGAGGATAAAACATTTTTATCTAGGAAAATTTATTGATAAGTTATTTTTTTTCATTAAATTGATAAGTTAGCTTAACAAAATATTTTTCTGCCAGGAATATAGGGATAAACATTTGAACCAAACAAACTAATAACCGATAGATAACATTAATTGAATTAATTAAAGAATAAAATAATTCAAAATCCTTAAAAAAATGACGCACGCCATATTATGATTGGAACCCTTCTGGAGATGTAGACTGGTAAATAGTATATAGTATCGATATTAATAATAACAATCATGTATTTTTTTTAAATACGGTTTATGTACATGTCACCCTTTTGAAGGTGAAATCGAGCTGGATCGGACAACTAAGATTTACGAATTTGTATTGCCAAAATTGGACGGTTTTGTAACACACATGGTAAGTATCTTGCCTTTATTCTCATTTGTATTTTTATGTCCTTTTTATGGTTATGTAATTTATTTTCTATGCTGTCAAAATTAAAGTACTCTAACTAGCATTCTAATGCTTTAATAACATAAGACAAAGTTGTAAAAAATTACAAGCAATTTTGCTTTTTTGCAAAAATTATTTTAGAATTCAACTAAAAAAAAAAGTTTGAGTCGGTGTTGAAATAAGAAAATATAGTAAAAGTTTACAAATATAAATCCCTTCAAAGTTAGATGGTAAGAAAATAATGAATTAGAATAAGAAAAGATTCTTACAAAAAAGGAATAGTTGTTTAAGAAATTAATACTTGAAGATTGAAAATATAATAAAATATTTCTAAAAAATAATAATAAAACTTGCCTCGGAGTAAAGGATTTGGGAGATCATAGAAACAAAAGTCCGATACAATAATATTTCAGATTGTGTTTATACAATGACTGTTTGGTTTTTTTTCTTTTATGGATGTATTTACCTTAGTAGGGCAAGAGGCTGGTATGCCTTAGGAAAGATTTAAAGAGGAATGTCAAAGAAGATGATTAATCAATTGATAAATCACATTTAGAGGGACAAGATTAGTGAAAATGTGTTAAAAAATTTATAGAAATAATTGTTTAAGTCATTAATACCTAAAGATTGAAAACATAATAAAAAAATCTCTAAAAAAAAATAATAATAAGACTTGCCTCGGAGTAAAGGATTTTGGAGGTCATAGAAACAAAGCTCTCTAACACAATGGTATTTCAAATTGTGTTTATACAATGATAGTTTGTCTTTCTGGGAATCGGATTGTATATTTGGTCTTCATTATGGAAGGTAGGGTTGTGGGGAAGACCTGTTGGGCTTGGACCTTTGTATATCACTTATATCATGTCTTTGGATTTCAGGTTACGACTTGTTTCATACTTTTAGCAGTTTGGTTCTATTTGCAAATGGGTCTGCCCCTTCCATTTGTCACTGTAGGAATAGTGAAGCTTGCTTATATACTCCACTATATTCCAACAATGGCGGTATGTAATATTTTTATTTTAACTATTGTGATTAGCAGCAAGCTCTCATATTTAATAATGATTAACCTTTTTTAATAGTGATTTTGTCTTGGTCTTTTTTGGCTTGCAGGGACTTCTGGCCTATGTAGTGGTTGATCAGGCTTATGATAAGCACCTGAAGAATAAGAAAGGGTAAGGAATAAGGAGAGGATCAGGAAAAAGAAGAACCAACCAGTTTCGTCTTTGTCGTTTATCCGGTTGAGTCGTATCAGAGTGACAGCTCTTCTTTATCCCTAGTCGATTAGGTCTTTCAACATGTTGCCCTTTGTGGTACTGGAATACTAGATTCATCATTCATCTACTTCTTCATCCATTGCCCATCCCAACTTTCTTCAGTGACGGATGTTATGCAGGACAGTGGAGTTTTGAACGCACATCATTTTGCATGATATTTGATAGGAAGATGCTTTTTATTTTGCTTCCCACAAACAAAGTTTACTTTAAATTATGGTCCATGGGCAAACTTTAGGTTACGGTTCGTGGTAACTTTAATCCGAGCAAAGATCTTCCATTTTCAAGAGATCTTGTGATTAATTTGTGTGCCTCGCACGATATGACAGGGCATCAAAAATTCATTTACCAAGTTGAGGCGGTGGTGGAAAGGGGAACATATGCACACATTTGAGAGGGCATATGTACCCGTACCCAGACATGAAAAGCGAGTTGTGCATCACTTTCTATTTAGTGGTGTCATTTCTTGAGTCGGTTGTTGCACTGCACATAAGAGGCTCCGTGCAGTGATCTTACACTGTGGTCTTTGCTCTTTGATTTTCATCTCTTGATTAATTAAGAATTTTTGACCTTCTAATCTTGCATTTTGAGGCCCGGCATGCTTTTATTTATTTCTTTTTGCTGCGTCTTCTGCTGGGAAGAAGGTAAATCTATATCTCAACGAACAAACACTTTTTCAGCTGTAATTAATTAGGTGAATGCTCTGCTTACAACAGTGAAATCACCATAGTTGATGGCCCGTACCGGTCATGGTTGATGGCACTATGAAGTCGAGACTGGGACATTTTTTTTCGTACATGTCAAAAAGAAAGCAGAACTATTGAAGTATGGTTTATCATTGTTGTTATATGCAGTGGTCATTACGGTGAAATGTAGAAATTGGGGACTTCTTTCTTATGCAAGCAAAGCAAGCATCTATCTCTTAAGAGGCAATAGGCAATTCAAGTCCCTTTTTACAACAAAATGCTGGCTGAGGTAATCATCATCATAGTTGCCTCATGTTGCATTGAGAGTGCAACCATCAAATTACGCATCCAAAATTGTGATGATTATCAATCAGGCTTAAGTGCATGAAAAATGAATCAAAATCGCAGCAAGAAAATGGAGGAACCTCAGCTGTGGGGAACTCCATGTTCGATCTATAGCTTTCCACGCTCGTATATATTAAGCCAGTGAAAAAGACAACACTAACGGTACATACAATTAACAATTTTCAATTTTCTTTACCGCAAAATTATTACACCAGCAACGCTAAAATTGATTATTAATCTGGCAAACAAATCTACTGATCCTGTAGCATCTCAACGGCCTAAATCTGGAAGAAATAATCAAGTCGCTCCAAGGTAGAGCACCTTATGCCACATCTCTGATCCTTGTCGAGTTGTAACCGGTGAACGCCGGGGCCCTGTCAAATGATTTTGACTTGCAAACTCTCGACAAAAAATTGACAAGTTAGAACAGCATTTCATAGAAATAGTACAACAAACTAGGAACTTCATCATAATACAAATGCTCGAGCTAGAAAGAGCTGGATTTGGAAAATTTTCGACACCATTGCATGGAAATTTGTAATAAGATACAGGCCTGAAACATTTACCTCCGCATGCAAGATAGTCAACGAACAGAGAACCATAGCTAGGCAAGGAAAAGGAAAGGGAGGGACCAACATGATATTATTGGCATGCCCGGAATTGGAAAGGATCTTAGTCCAAAGCCTCTGAAACCCTTGGCTCAAAAATAGAACAAATGGAGAAAAAAAAAGAGAGAGAAAGTCCATGACCTCAGCTGAACAGGTCAGATCCATTCAAGGACAAGGAAAAGAAATGGAGGAACCACATGAAACCATGGGCATGCCTGGCCTCGGTAAGGATTCTCTCCATCCAATCTTCAAGGTTAAAAAATTTAAGATCGAAAATTAAAAATAAAAAAAAACCAACGCAAAAGCAAAAGATATAAACAAAGAAAGATAAAAAGTTTCCTTTCCAAGCCAGGCGATGCCCACAATTTCCTGCAGATCTAGCTCCGTTTCCACCTTACCCGTTTGTTACTGAGCTCCAATATCACCCTCTGCACCATAAGTTCAGGTAAAAAAAAGGCTAAAAAATAACGAATTTACACTGAGCCGCTCCTTTTTCTTCCTTCTTTTTTTTCCCCCCTCACTAGAAGAGAAAGTTAGCCTAAAGAAACTAGCAGCTGCAAGAGCCAAGAGGGGAGGACGGGAAGGGAAAAAACGAACCCTAAGAGAGAAGCACTGAATTGGGTTTAGCGACTTTGTGTTTCATCGTTCCACACCTTTTATAAACTTTTCCCCTCCAGAAGTCCAAGACTAAGGACACGCTAAGGGGACCCTGCCGGACAACCCTAGCCCAGCCCACCTTGCTTTCGCAAGTAACTCGGCCCAAGGAATAGTGTGGGAATGGAGACGTTATGAAAGGAGAGGTAAGGTTGTGTAGGGAGAAACTTCCACTATCGTCATCTTCGAAGAAGACAGCCTCCCCATCGGACTAAGAATTAAGAAACTCAAGGCTAGAGGGGTTGGCTGCAAAATGTATCCAATAAATTGAAGTGTATTTTGCTGGGAGGATTATTTAGCCACAAGAGAAAGAGGTGATTGAGGAGTGGCTGAGAAAAGACAATGAGGAGTTATATCTTTGTATTTGCCCCTATTCAAAACTATTTTCAATTGTGTCATTATATAGTCTAATCAATATAAGTGTTTTGAGTTTAAGCATGTACACATTAGTGTGAAGACCATTAGTACTACTAGTGATAAAGAGCGCACTGAATTTGTGTGCAATTTGGAAATTTTATTTTTTTATATAGAGAAATTGGCAAAATTTTAATAAACCAAAAAAATGAACTTTGATATTTTAAAAGCTTTTTTCAATGAATTTGGTAGTTTATAAAATGCTTGTGGGTAGTTATGGGTGAAAGTCAGTTGTGATTATATTAGTTGGCAATATGTAGGCAAATTTATTTTGGTCAAAGCACTAATGATTAGTTTAGCATACATGCTGAGTATTATGGACAGAAACTGCATTTTTTTTAAAAAAATTTTGGACCTATGTTATATATTGAGATTGGTTGTTTCTCTTAAATTATTTTTGTTAGTTGGTAATGATTTTGACATTTTTTGTCTTTTTGCAGCCAGAATTTTATACTTTTTGGTCAACATTTTATGGCCATGTGGGTGAAATTACATATTGGGGCCTTCTTTCTTGTATTTGGATCAATATTTTTTTAATAGGAATAGAATAGATATCAAAATTTTGATTAAACAAGTAGTAGTAGAAAACTCTGTAATTCATATAATTTTTGTGAATATTAAATAAAAGCAACCCTGAAACAAAATTTAAGACCAATTTTTAAGATGAATATGTTTGATTGACTTTCACTATACACTTGCTTATTATTTGCTTTCTTATTGTTTCTCTCTCTCTCTCTCTCTCTCTCTCTCAGTGCCTATTAGTTGTTCTGCTAAGTTTCTCTATGCCCCTGATCTTACTGCAAGACCCATGTAAATTGATTGTGTAAAGTGATGATTTTTGGTTATATGTTGCTTTCATAAGGCTGAGCATGTAGAAATGGAAGAAGGTTAGTCATGTTGAATGGACTTTAGTATCTTTTGTGGGTATCTTTGATTAGAGCTCTATGTTGTTAGGATGCTTCAATACTTATAAAGCTAGCACTTTCAAAAAAAATTGTAGAATTCAGTTAAATCTATCACATATCATAAATTTGTTGAGAATGGTCCTTACTGGGAGGTAAAGAATTTTTGACGATTTCTTGACAATGAATGCTCAAATTTCTCAACGCATGTTTAGTTGTTGCTTGAGTTTTCCAAAATAACTGAAATAATCAATTTCTTGGTTTTCGTTCACGTCTCTACCTTCATAATTTTCACTAGTGTACAAAGAATGAAATTGCAGATGAAATAATGGTTATGAGGAATTAATTTTGAAGTGGAATAAAGTGGTATTGATTCTATAACACTAACAGCTTACAGTGAGGTCTAAACTAACATTATATGTTCTCAAGAGTACCAATGTAAACATTTTTTTTAAAACAACTTTACAATTTTATTACCTTTTTGTAAAGCTTTGAACTCATATCTTAAATGCCAATAACTTTTGCAGCATCATTTTGTTTTGGGAATTTTAGCTGTGCTTCAGTTCTACCATTGGTTGCTCTTCTATACATAGAGGTTAGTTCTTCTAGCATTCTTTTCTTATCCTGCTACCCATTTTTTAGTTGTTTTGCATATATTTTGTTACTTTATGCTTAGATGTAAATTTTGGGAGTTGAACTTGTTAGGAATTTCCATTTTAGGTTTTTGCTATGCTTGTTCCAATATGAAATCATCAGAAAACTTGTAGACCAAAATAAGTTCATTAAACTGAAATATAGCTAGGTAAAAATCAAAGTTTCATGCAATTAATTGTGCCGTTTGACTATTAGTTGCTGTTTAGTTTGAGCCTCAAAGACTAGGTAAATGGGTAGTTGCTAAATCTGTATTTTTTTTCCCAGATATCATGCAAAAAGTCCAGCCTAAATGGATATGTAATCAACTACAACTGTTGATGTATTCTAACCTGCTATATAATAAATGTAATGTTCAACTGCTTATCTTTTAAGGTAAACAATTAAGTTAAAAAGTTACAAAGCATTAGCTTATTAACAAACATTTTGTTGCTTTTGTACTCCATTAAATGCCTGCCGATTGGACATTCCCATGTGAGTGAGACTTGTATCTGCAATAACTACTGCTTTGAGCAATACTAAGCTGTTAAATAAAAGTAAATCTGCATTGCCTGCTTGGCAGTGGCAGCATTCCCTTTATTTTTGTCCCATACACAATAATTTCTGCTCTTAGAGCAAATGTTGCCAACTAGCAGCTGGGGGAATATTAGCTATAGATTGGATTGTGGTCAGAGTTAATGAGGTTTCTAAGATTAAATCACTCCATTACTGCCCAGGTACACAACAAAGTAGAACATGTGAACGTCAGTTTGCAATTTTGAATTAGTATTATACACTTAGAGAGTGGATATGATTTACTTTGACATGAAATGGGTAACTTTTTGTTTGTAGTATCATACATGCTGTTTCAACCTTTTTTGCCATTAACATAAACATTCTGCTAGAAGGTTTCAGGAGCCATGTCACTACCACATCCTAATAGTATTTAGAAATCATGTAACGACTGTTTAGAGAAGCAACAATAAGAAATAAATAAGAAGCTGAAATGAAAGAGGGGATGGTATGAAGCATTTTTGTCCTTGATAAGGCTCTATAGTGGTTTTGAAAAAATGTCCAAGTTCTCTATAGGACTTGTTACCTGACATATTTTAGTATTGTTCACAGAATTTTGAGCTTCCTCTTGAATTTGTTCATGAGCGACTCAAAACAAAGACATTCTGGTGCATATCAAATCAGTGCAAACACAATTAACAGATGCAAGGCAACACTACACAGCAATAAAGTATTCTGAAACTAATGACATTGCCACTTCTGTCCAGTTAGCAGTTAACGCAAAAAATGACTCTTTGTCACTTAGGCATCAAGCTGAGATTGTGGAGCTCTTGACTCCAAGCAGATAAACACTCAATTGAACTTGTAATACATACTGTCTTTTCCTAAAAGCAAATTGCAGGGAAACTCGTGACTGCAGGAGAAGCCAATGGTTCGTCAAAAGTTTGCCTTCGACTTGCTGGAAATTTTGATGATATAGATAATGTGGAAGGAGATGACACTTAAAATACGTACAGCTACTCCACCAAGAAAACAAGATTAAGCTGAATTCATAATATTCAACTTTTATACCACTCGAACTTGATAGTTTTTGTCTTCTTGTTTTGCCATTCTAGATTTGATAGATTGCTTGGAACTTTTTGAAAGGATTATTACTATATCTACGAACTGTGTATATCTGTATGTGGTTATCCCTTAGGTAACTTGTGAGAACTGGAAAAAAAAAAGGAAAAAAATATTTTTTTTATTAGCCATTATTTTATTCCTGTGCACATTTATATTTTCTTCATTATATTAATTTTATAGATATTTTTATCAGTAAATATAGTTTTAAAATCATTTTTCTAGTATAAGTTAGTTCATGAGAAATTAGGAGTGTATGTTGGACGTGGGACTCGCTAGTGCGTTAAGTGAAAGAAATTCGGCCAATTAGATTAAGTTTTACATAAAGGGATTTAAATACTAGGTGTTAGGAGATAATTAGAGGTTATCTAGATGGATTAACCATGGGGAGACAAGAAAATAACTTTAAGTAACAACAAAGTGCCAAGTGTCATTACTTAGTCAAAGTTAGGCTTGACTAACTTTACTAAAACTCCAATTTTGACACAAATCATCTTCATTTCATATCTTTCTTGCCCGAACTTCACCTTGAGAGAAAAGAAAAGAAAGTTTCATCTATATCTTCCATTTCTTGCACAAATTTTGAAATCCGACCGATTAAACCTTGAATTAGTCCGCAAAAGTGACTTGCTAAGGGAGTTTGAAGGTCTTGGTAGAGTTGTTTTGGAAGAAAAACCCCTAAACTACTACCTTTCTTGAGGAGTTAAGGTATTTTCCTTGGAACTCACTTTTTGTTCCTAATAATGGTCAATTGGTGGCTTATGGTAACTAACTAGGTGATTTTATGGAAGATTTCATGGATTAAAGTGGAGTTAGCTAAATTTCTGATTTTTTTGAGAATTTTTCTGTTTTCATATGATGGTTATGGTTGGCCTTGGATTGATAGCTCTAAATTGTGTAAAATGGAGCTTTTGTGCGTTAATTGCGGTTATTTGCGAAAAATTTCCGCTTGTGCGGAAAATTTCAGATTTAGGGCTACTAATTAGGGCTTTCTTATGGTTGGTTATTGAGCTTCTAATTGGCTATAATTGAGGGGTATTGTGACCCTAATGAAATGTGTTGAATGGCTTATGAATTGTTTGTGTGCTTGTGGTTACTTTGGATGAATTTCAAGGGTTGTTTGTATGATAGAAAATCTGAAATTTTAGGGGAAATGTTGTCCAAATGTTGAGGATGTTGGATTCTTATGAGTTTAGGTTGAGGTTGGATAGAAATGAAAGATTTTGGGGTTTGTTTCTACTTTTAGCTCTAAATGTTATGTATTTTCCCTTCCAAGCTATATTTGGTTTTGCCGTAATAGTTCATTTAAGAGGTATTCGACTCGTGTCCGAGTCTCAATTGTACTTTCTTAATTGTTATAGGGCGTGCCAGTGAATCGAAACTTACGTCGGGCGAAAACTTG